GTGGAGGTCTGTATGCGTGTGTGTGTGGAGGGGGGGGAGGAGGTTGGGGTCCCGTTCGCTATTCACACCTGCAACAAAAAGCATGACTGTGCCGAACAGACTGTTTCCTCGAACTTTCACCGACTCATTACCGTCTTCCCCCGAACATAACGCACCCTAAAAGTGAATGTTTACAAGCTATATTTCCGGCCAGATTAAGCCAAAATGAGGGTGCGTTGTGTTCGGGGGAAGACGGTAGGAGGTTGAACCCCGACAGTCCGCCCAGGATGTGCTGTGGGAGCAATCAAGAAAATCATGTTGCCAGTCAATCGAACTGAGTAAGGAACGAAAATGGACGCGGATGGATCGCGTCTCACATGACCCTCTTTACAGTCTATTTCTCGCCATCGATGATCAGCGTAAGCGGCTCGAGACACTCTTCCGCCTCTTTAAAAGAATACCGCAAATTACCGTCAAGTCAGTCTGCACTTTTATAGCGCGCAAGTCAGGGCGACAGGAGAGGACGGCGAAGGGTCAATTGGCCACACCAGCAAGTCTTTGACCAGCCAACGCCTATTATTATACGTGACGGAGCTCCAAAACAACTGTGAATGCCTCATTCGGTATCGTTATACCATCGAAGAACGCTGGTTCAAGCTGATTCACTGGTGACACAATCGGTAAAAAATGGTAATAGTCATATATAAATGGACGCATTATGATGAGATAATAGTCATATCGTCCATTATGATGAGATAATAGTCATATATAAAGATTTCCATCGAAGAATGCTGGTTCAAGCTGATTCACTGGGGACACAATCGGTTAAAAAAGGTTAAGGCCAGAAGGGTCCAACCGACTACGTAGGAACGAAGCCTCGTGTGCCATCGCACACGAAGCACGATGATGTCAATTGTCTCACTACCAAGCAGCGCAAGAGGAAGAACATCAAAATCACACCTACCGGTGCAACACGAAGAATAGAGAGGATCGAAGAGGCGGTCACAGCCAGGGTTGTGACAAGGAGAATAGCAGGTGAAAAAAAAAGGATTAAGCTCTGCTATTCCGTCACAGGAAGGCGCGTTTTAGAACGAGGCGGTCCGAACAGCGACAAGCACGCAATGGCCAAACTGCACGCTTGCACTCACAAGATTACAACAATTGACACAGTGTGACTCTGCTCAAAACGCACATATTCAGGGAGATAAGAAGAGGAGGAGGAGGACGGAGGAGGAAGTGTTTGAATGCGCACAACAAGAGGAACAGGACACGCCAGCTGAAAGATCGTCCTAACGACGACGGAAACGGGATCGATGAGATATCGACATACGCTTGTCGGCAATATCAATAGCAAGCAACCACGTGACGACAGCTGATGGAAAAACACAATAGCAAGACGGCATTTCACTCTATCAATGTTGATGTTAAGCGCCAACAGCCAGCCAGACATCAACCAACCAACCAACCAACCAACCAACCAACCAACCGTGTATTTGATCAACAGATTAAACACACTAATTTGACTAATCAGTATCAAAAAAGAGTACTTAATCAACACGGACTGCTATTAACTACGTGTGTGTCGCCGGTCAAAACATAAAATAGAGTTCCAAAAGACTACAATCTTTGCCCAAAAGATAACGCATGCTCATCACGACTCTCTTGGAGCGGAAAAGATCATCGCAGTAAGCGAGTGCCACGTGGCGGCCGATGGATGCGATATCGACATAGCTCAATGCTCAGATTGCGTTGGGTTCGGAGGACGAGGGGAACTTTCTTCTTATCCTTACGCCGCCCAGCCATCCACACGCACCGCTACCTCTTCCATAACTCTTCCCATTTTATATAGTTCTTCGCAGAGCTGAATGCGTGACTTTCGTCCAATTTCTTATCCTTCTATTATTACTACTACAACTAACCAAAAAAAAAAAAGAAAAAAAAAAAAAACTACTACAACTAACAACTACCAGTGGTAGCAATATCAGTAATACTAATAACAAAAATAACAAAAATAACAAAATGATTAAATCCGAGGACTTGCAAGCCGAGCGACACGAAGGCACACACTTCAATTCCCCACATTTCTTGTCACAGCCGATCTTTCTGCTAGGAGATCACGGCGAAGCGCGGGAGCGCGGGACTGCGGAAGCTGTAGTGACGGCGACGTAAGCGCAGGGCTGACGTAGGAGGTAATACTACAGTCTTGACCCGAATACAACGCACGGTCGTTATAGCTGTATTTGAGGCATCTTTCAGTCTAGATACAGCTATAATGACGGTATGTTGTATTCGGGGGAAGACTGTAGGTTGGAGAGGGGCGCGAGCGTGCTCAGCAACTTACTTAGAGAATTCATCGGGGTCGACCGGTGAATGCGCGAGCATGGGAGCGAATACTTAAAGAGGAAAGATCATTAGGCAGAGGAACAGCGGATGATGAGAATGGGCCACGCCAGCGGGCTTGCTGGCTCACTCACGTCGTCCTGAGTGCGGACATACACACGGGGAGAGGCTGACCAACTCGCTGCTACCGAGTCCCTCCCTCTCCTCCCACCTCTTAACGCGCTCAAACCGTTTCTGTGACTACTCTCTCTCTCTCTCTCGCTCGCTCGCTCCTCGCCCTGAGTGAGGTCTCCGATTCGCTGGCTACTAGCACTCGCAAGGTGCTTGCCGCACACTGTATCAATCCCCTCGGTCACTCACCGAGTGACAGCACTCGGTCGGTCGCTCGTTCAGTCGACCACGTCGGGGCCAGTCGGTCGTTCACTTGGTCGCTCAGCCAGTCCGCTCGTCACATGCTGCGCGATTCACTACGCTATGTAGCTCATCCGCTTACAGACACTGCGCATTGCCAACTCTCGCTTTATCTCTCCCATTCGCTCTCCCTGGCTCCCCTGGCAGTCTATCGATCGAACATTCACTCGCACCATACTTCCTCCTTCCCTCTCACGCCCTCACTCCGCGTAGCGCGCAGATCGGTCATCGTTCCCCCCCCTCCTCCTCGCCCTCACCCCCTTAGTGCACATCGCTGCTCGCTCATCAGGTATCCTCTCTGTCCTTCCTCCCATTGCTCTCTTGCTTTCACTGCGCAACACTTCCGTCCCCAGGCAAGGCAGAGGCAATTGCCCCCCCATCCACATGATTAGAATTGCCCCTCTCTTTGCCCCTCTCTTTGCCACCCTTCGTCGATGTCATTACCCCGCATTGACTTTCTCTCTCACATTCGTTCTCTTCGCGAGATTCATTGCCACCCATTGTTGAACACAAAAACACTTCGTTCCTTATAACAAAAAAAAAGGACAGATTCAATAAAAAAAGGACAGATTTCTAGAACACAAAAAAGAAGGCACCTTTGCAGCAAAGATTAGAAAACACATCGTCTAATCACTAATCCCGTAACAACAGCGCATCTTTGCTTCGGCATTGGACCACATTCACTGTATCCATTTGGAGCATGCAAGAGCAAGCAAGCAATCGCAGGAGACGAGCGAGAGACAACAAAGCTCGATCGGACTGGAGGCAGATCGTGCGAGGTGAAGAGCAAAAACAAAAAAAAACGGAGTAAAATCCATTGACGCTTAACGATCACGAGAGCCGATACTACCTTATCCCCCAACTACTGTCAGTGACGTTAATCAAGTTACGCCAGTGTAAATGTTACTCCCTCTCTCTCTCTCTCTCTCTCTCTCTCTCTCTCTCTC